TTTTTTTTTTTTTTTTGAGTTGGAGTCTCACTCTGTCGCCTAGGCTAGAGTGCAGTGGCACACTCATGGCTACCGCAGCCTCAACCTGCTAGGCTCATGTGATCTTTCTGCCTTAGCCTCTCAAGTGGCCAGAACTACAGGCATGTGCCACCATGCCAGCTAATTTTTTGACTTATTGTTGAGATGAGGTCTCACCAAGTTGCCCGGGCTAGTTTCGAACCCGTGGGCTCAGGCAATCCTCTTACCTTGGTCTCGCAAAGTGCTGGTTTTATAGGAATGAGACACCACACCTAGCCTATACCCAAAGCTTTCTCATCATCACCCATAAAAACTCTGTACTCATTAAAGAATAACCCTCTCTTTCTCCCACCAGCCCCTGGCAACCTCTATCTATTTCCTGTCTATGAATTTGCCCATTCTAGTGGAATCGTACAATATTTGTCTTCACTGTTTCTGGCTTATTTCACTAAGCATAATGTTTTCAAGAGCCATTCATGTTGCAGCAAATATAAAAGCTCCATTCCTTTTTATGGCTGAATAATATTCCATTGTTTGTAACACTTTTGTTTAACCATTCATCTGTTGGGGAATACTTGGCTTGTTTCTACCTTTTGACTATTGTGAATTATATTGCTGTGAACACTGGCATACAAATATCTGTTCAAGTTCCTTCTTTTAGTTCTTTTGCATATATGCCTAAGAGTACAATTTCTAGGTCTAATGGCAGTTTTGTGTTTAACCTGTTGAACCCACCAAACTTTTCCACCGAGACTCTATCATTCTATATTTTTACCACAGTGTGCCAGTTCCAGTTTCTCCATATCTTGGTCAACACTTGTTAATTTCTTTTCTTTTTTTTTAATTATAGCCATCCTAGCAGGCCTGAAGTATTATCTCCTTGTGGTTTTGATTTTCATTTTCAAATGCAAATAGTTTTCATGTCATGAATAATGACTAATGATATTGAGTTTATTTTCATGTGCTTATTCACCATTTGTGTATATCTTCTTTGGAGAAATGTCTAAGTCCTTTTCCCATTTATAATTTGGTTGTTTTAGTGTTGTTAAGTCTTAGAAATTCTTTGTTTTTATTTATTTATTCATTCATTTATTTATTTATTTTTTGAGTTGGTGTCTCACTCTGTCCTGCAGGCTGGAGTGCAGTGACATACACACAGTCACCGCAGCCTTGACCTGCTGGACTCAGGCAGTCCTTCCACCACAGCCTTCCAAGTAGCTGGAACCACAGGCATGCGCTACCACATCCAGCTAATTTTTTGATTTATTGTAGAGACAAGGTCTCACCAAGTTGCCTAGACTGGTCTCGAACCCCTGGGCTCAGGCAATCCTCTCACTCGGCCCCCCAAAGTGCTAGGATTACAGACTTGAGCTACCATGCCCGGCCTGGAATTTTCTATTTATACCAGGCATGTCCAGCCTTGTAAGGCCCAGAACAGCTAGTAATGCAACCCCACAAAATCTTTTAACATCGTGTGTTTTGTAGCATTTATTTTCTTCCTGACCCCATGCATAGTTTCATTTTTGAAGTTCACCATCATGCCTTATTCATGACATCACTTTTTGACCACACATACATTTGTAAGCAACTGTTTTCCATTATGAAGCACACAAAGAGCAAAATTCAAACAAACATTTCTGATAAGCACCTTGAGAACTCACTAAGAATTGCCAACTACTTCCATTGAACCAGATATTGATAGATTAGTTTTACAAAAACAAGGTTAAATTTCCCACTAGTTTGTTTGTTTTTTTTAAGTTTTCAGACAAGGTTAATTAGAGAAAGAAAGGAGAAAAGAAAGAATGACATGCCAGAGCTGGCATGGGTGAAAGAAACTGCCAAATTTCCCACTAGTTTTATATTGTTCTCATTTTTCTAAACTGTATAATAAAAAATCCAAAAAAGAAGTCTTATTATGTATAGACACTAACTATATTATATAATTTATGTGTCGCCCAGACTGGAGTGCAGTGGCCGCTTCCGGCCACCACAGCCTCGCCTGCTGCGCTCCTGCGATCCTTCCACCTCAGCCTTCCGAGTAGCCGGAATTACAGGCATGCACTACCACACCCGGCTGATTTTTTGATTTATTGTAGAGATGAGGTCTCGCTGCCCAGGTGGGTCTCGAACCCGCGGTCTCAGGCAATCCACTCACCTAAGCCTCCCAAAGGCACGGGATTACAGGCTGAGCCACCGAGCCCGGCTAATTTTTTTTCTTATTGTAGAGATGAGGTCTTGCCAAGTTGCCCAGGCTGGTCTTGAACCCCTGGGCTCAAGTAATCCTCTCACCTTCGCCTCCCAAAGTTCTGATGTTGCAGGTGTGAGCTACCTCACTCGGCCTTGTTCCTGACCTTTGAAGGAAAGCTTATAGTCTTTCAACATTGAGTGTGATGTTTGATGTGGGTTTTTCATAAATATTCTTTATCATTTTGAGGAATTTCCCTATTATCCTTAATTTTCTGAGAGTTTTTTTTTTAAGAAAGTTTGTTAGTTTTTGTCAGATGCCTTTTCTGAGTCAATTGAGATGGTCTTGTGGGGTTTTCATTCTATTAATATGATGTATTACATGATTTGATTTTATGTTGAATTCCTGGGTTATATTTCACTTGGTCATGGTGAATAGTCCTCATAATATATTATTGGATTTAATTTGCTAGTATTTTACTAAGGATTTTTCATTCATATGCATTAGGGATATTGATCTATACTTTTCTTGTCTTTTTCTTTTTTGGGGAGGTGGTAGTTTTAGAGACAGGGTCTCACTCTGTTGCCCCAGTTACAGTGCAGTGACGTGATCATAGCTCCTAGAGCCATGAACTCTCCTGGACTCAAGCAGTCCTCCCACCTTGTTCTCCCAAAGTGATAGGAATGAGCCACTGAGCCCAGCCTGTGACATCCTTTCTTGTGACATCCTTATCTGGCTTTGTTATTAGGGTAATACTGGCCTCGTATATTAAGTTAGGAAGTGTTCCCTCTTCAATGTTTTGAAGGAGGGTGAAAAGGATTGGTGTTAATTCTTGTTTAAATATTAGAATTCACTGATGAAACCATCTGGTTCAGGACTTTTCTTTGTTGAGAGGTTTTTGTTTACTGATTCAATCTCTTGTTATTCACCTGTTGAGATGTTCTATTTCTTCTGGAGTCAGTTTAGGTAATTTGTGTTTTTCAAGAAATTCATTTCTACTATGATTCATCATTTGTTGACATACAATTGTCTATAGTATTCTCTAATAATCCTTTTTGTCTTTGTATAGTCAATAGTAATGTCCCCACTTCCATTTCTGATTTTAATTATTTGTATCTTTTCTCCTTTTTTCTTTGTCAGTCTAGCTAAAGATTTGTTAATATTGTTGATCTTTTATCTTTGTTATTTTTGTTCTGCTAACTTTGGTTTTAGTTTGCTCTTCTTTTTCTAGTTTCCTAAGGAGTAAGTTTAGGTTATTTATTGGGATATTTCTTCTTTTTTAATGTAGATATTTATA